TTGCGTACTTTTTGCGTTCAAAAGGAAAAGAAACGAGAACGTTTTCTCTTTTTCTCTGTTTCTCTTTTTCGTTTTGTGTGTCCACTGTTCGTTCGGCGCGACGAGTGCATAACTAATTTAATTTTGCGTGAAACAGCGTCATCCGCAGTGTTACGACTTCGTGTAATATATATAAATACATATATATATTAATTACCGGTTAGGGTGTGATACTACTTTGGTATAGGCATAACTAAACTTAATCAGATCCGTGAAGCAAGGATTCGTAAAGAAACCGAAAAGATTTTGTATGATACATTTGTTCACGTGCGTGGGGTGCAGCCTTCGAGCGTGAGCGCACCCTAGATCACGCTTTTCTTTTATTTTAATCCTCTTTCTCCCTTCTGGAACGTATTTTTCATCGCTTTCAACCCACTAACTCGTGTGTTTTATTCGAAATAACGAGATTTACTTTTTGTACAGCGAGATATCGATCCACGTATCGGCACGATCTTCTTCGACATTTCTTGCGCGGAACGCTGTAGTCGAAACAATCAGGAAACGTGTTACGTGTTGAAATATTTAACTTCGTTCATTCCACCCGGAAACTGAATTATGATATCGGTAGAAAGATATGGCGAAAATTATGGTGCCGATGCAGTTATAAGACAAAAAAAAAAAAGGGAAAAGATGAGAAAAAAAAATAATTAAAAAGAAAATAGAAAGAAAAAACAGCACGGTCTGACAGCATTTCACGAACGCTCAATAAACGTTGACGAGAGAAATTTCGTACTTTCTTGCGTTTACTCGACGTTTCGAACGTTTGTAAGTACTTGCATATTGTGTGGATTGTATTTTGTTCTTTCGCTATTTTGTTTTCATTTCTCTTTCTTTTTTCTTCGTTTCTTTCCTCGGATAGATGGTGGAAAAGAAACCAAGAAGCAGTAGAGTGCCATCAACGAAAGAGAAAGCCAACGCAGCGTTGGGCAAGCGATTGTTACGCGATTCGCGCCTATCGGAATCGCGATCCGCGCGTGTTCGAGCGTATATCTCCTTCGATCCACGATCGGAAGAGAAATTATTTTGCAATCCGTCGGGAAATATCTATTTTCACCTGCCTCTGTCCCTTAGCCTTGACACCTATCCCCGGTACCTACCATAGCCGAAGAAGATATAACTCAAAACAAATTAGTCAAGAATTTCACGGAAACGAACGATAGAAATAAAAAGAAGAGAGAAGTTACCAAAAGTTTCGCGTTTCTTGTATTGTGAATCGCGCAAAGTTTGCCTAACGCTCCGATTAACTTAATTCTAGTACGATAAAGCTACGATGATGAAACCACGGTCGCATCGTTCGTGCAGGAAGTACCTATTTCTAATGATAATAAGATAATAAGAATAATATTAATATTAATAATAATAATAATTAATAACTTATAATAGAGAGTGCGATTACATTGAATGATTTTTTTGATGCATACTATCATCGCCACAGACGCACGTTGTGGCGATCCACGGTGTGATGATCCTAATTAATTAGACCCGAGTACATTCATGGTCTAACGAATAATCGGGACGAGGTTTTGATCATGTACACAGAGGAACGATGATACAATGAATTATTAAGGATCACGAATTATTCGCCAGACCGCAGTGAAACGGAACAATCTCTCTCCATGCATATATACACACATATATATATATATGTACATATACGTGTATACCAATGTCGATCGACGATTGTAAATTAACAGAAGCACCTCGGTCGATCTATAGCCGGTAGATATTTTCATCTGCCGTTTAGTAAAAAGAAAAGGTTTATTTATCAGTTCGTTTTATTTATTCGTGTACACGTATACACAGTCACAAATATACAGAGGTTCGATCCGAGGCCGGAGGAACAATTATAAGTGAAAGTAATATTTATCGCGGCTACGATTTATTTCGATGACGACGATTAGCGATGGTCCGATGTAGTGCGTTACTTGTTGTAATAAGAAGAAAGAAGGAAAAAAAAGAGAATATTAAGAAAGATACAAGAAACGATGTGTTACTAATGCGTATTCAAAGTTTCAACGATCGGCCTAGTACTATGAGTTAGAGGTCGCTCGATAGAGTACGGTATATCTCGCTTCAGAGTGGCATCTGCCGCGTGTACGAACATCGAACACTTAATACAATGTGAACTGTAATAAGTGTTTATCTCCATTCACGCCTGCGACTATGCTTCCCTCTCCGCCATCTCTCACTATCGTCACACCTTATCCTCTGTCGTACCACGACCGTTGCTCTTTAGTTACCACCGTCAGCGATTTCTGGGTGTGCATGGTACCTTTATAACGATATTTCCTTTCTTTCTTTTTTATTCTCCTTCCTTTTTCATCGCGTTCGTATTAAGAAACGAACACCTTGATCGGACTTTGATTGACTTTGATCACTCGAAGTGACTTCGATTTTGTAACCTAATTTTCATTTCCAAGCGGAAGTACGATACAAAGAGAAAACTCTCGTTCGTTAAGTGTCCCGAAAGCCTTTGCAAAAACAATATGGAAACTCGGAGGTCTCTATCTTAATTACCGACACATGGATCGCAAGATCGCTCAATTATCGGTCGAGTATACGAATATCGACGGATGGATCCGAAATTCGTCAGAGTCCTCGTGCAAGCGGAAATGGACCAGCTCGGAACTGAACCGCGAAACGAAGCTGAAACAACCACCGCCATCTCGCGTTATATTATACATCATCACGGCCATTCTGTGTTCCCTCCCCGAAATTGTTGTTTGAATTTTTGCATGCATCCTCTGGACAGATGAAACCAAACTGAGAGACAAAAGTCAACAAAATACCAATATAACTGTCGTATTGGCCTGGAATGAACCGGAAAAAAAACTACTCCTAATCGAAGAAGTTGTCCCCGAAACACACTTTTTTTTGCTAACTCCTGCCTGCTGGTGTGTGAAAACTATTCAGTCACAGAGTAAAACCAACATTGATCAGAGACTCCGCTCCACGCGTGGACCAATCAGGTAACAGTTTCATTTTCTCCATTATTTCTCCTGCTGGATAATGTACCTTATTATTTATCCCCCTGTGAAAAACGCCACGATACACGACGTGCTGTATAATATGTATTTGACGAGACTGTGACAATGAAAAGAGACGAGATTCGTGTTACAGTGAAACAGTGATTATCGTTTGCTTGAAAAGAACAGCGAGTTCACGATTCGCTAGTAGTCGATTCTCTTCCAGAATACTTCTTCCTCTTTTCTTCTTTCGATTGATTCCTTCGAAAAATCGAGTTGCATTTTGTACAATGGAACATGATTTTCCATTTAACGCATTGCATTTGGAATATAAGATACTTGTATTTACTCGTCGTGTTTTCCCTTTATGCGGAAATTTTAATTAGTTATAGTCGGTTTCTTGCATTTAGATATTTCGAAAAACTTGGAAATATATTTTGCAATTATAATTTTGTCATATATGTAATATTAATACGTTAACACGTTAAACGCCGGTTTTACGTGCCGTTCCGTTCCGTTCACGCCGCAGGTAGCCGCCATGCGGGCCTTTCCAGGTCGTACGTACCTGCGCTAGACTTTCCGTTCAGGCCTCGGCGGTCCGTACGGCCCTGAAGGGCCCGCATGGCGGCTAACTGTGGCATGAACGAAACGGCACGTAAAACCGACGTGGCATTCAACATATTAACCACTTGCGCTATAAAGACGTGCCATGCACGTCGAGATGCTTTTGTTCCAAAGCCGCCAACGACGTGTATACCACGTCAATGTAACGCCTTACCGCATGTTATACTGTAGAGCGCGGCACGGCCACCGAAAGTTAAATCGTAGCACAAGTGGTTAATATAATATTCTTCTTCTTCAAAAAAAAAGGAAATAACCATATTAGTTGAGTTTTCGCTAATAGGAAAAATACGGATAACTCGCGTTGTACGAAAAAATGTTTTCGACAAAATTTTCCGCGCAATGCGTTAATGCGAAACATAATGATATTAAACGATTTGACGATCAAGATTCTTGTTCGCGGTTATGGAATCGAACTATTCGATTCATTGGAAGCACACGCGATTTTCTGCCGCGTCCGTAGCCTTTGAAAAAGAAAATAGGGAGAAAACAGGACAAAAAGTAGTATCGACATTACGACCCAGATGTTAAAATATCCTGTATCCGGGGAAGAATATTCCGACAAGTCTAGTTGTTCCCCGTTGCACGATTTTTTGATGATTAACAGGTTCACGCCGGCGCTGATTTTTGTGCTTCTCGCTGTGGGGCGCGCGCGTAGTCATGCATTGCTTAGAGACAGGAGCGTAGGCCACCGGTGGTACACAACGCCCGATGAGGGACCCTAGTGTGAGCCACCAGTGGTACACGCCTGCGTGAACGTGTTAATCCACGCTACCCGTATATGCTTTCAGTGGCACCGCCTGTGACGCCGCCGAAATAAAGCTCGGGAACTATATAGGACGAAAAATCGACACCAGTCCGGACACAGAGAAAAATCGTCAGAATGGCACTTAAACAACACCCACCCAAGCAACAACCCGCAAGCTGACCGATGGGATCGAGCCGGAACAGAGATCTTAATGAGACACTATCGACACGTATACACGGACACACGCGATATGTACACACAATATATACACAAACACACAGCAGCATAGAGTCGTATATAGAGAAAATGAAACGGGACAAACGAAAAACAATAAGATGACAGGGGCGCGTTTCTTTTTTTTTTTTTTTTTTTTTTTTTTTTTTTTTTTTTTTTTTTTTTTTTTTTTTTTTCTCTCTCTTTCGTTAAAAGCCATGTGTACTTTCTGGTAGAACGAGTATGGCGAGAATCTAGTGAATTTTCTGAAAATTTCCTAGACCGTGAACGAGATCGCGCCGTGGGCCTGGGTGTTAATTTCGTCGGCTGTTCTCTTGCTGCGTTCACGCGTTTATCTTTGCTGATTTGCCTTCGACAGTCACTCGGATCCGCGTTCTTATTCTTCTCTTGCCTCGAGGTAAAAATAAAAAAATAAAAAAAGACGTTAATTATATAGGAAAAGACAAGAGGTGTATCGCGAGCCGAACCGATCGTGTCGATACTCGAAGGGTGCAAACACCCTTGGCGATGCGAAATTTCGTGAATCGTCGTATATTCGTGAAGTACATTCGTCGAAACTCTCGAATATACCTCGCTATACTCGTTCCATCGATTATGCTCAATATAGTGACCGCGCCCTAGTAGAGGGATGTTCGGAGAAAGAGTGAGAGGGATTCACATTCGTAGAGAACAAGGGGGGTACCAGTGATCCACGGCGGTGCGGGCGTTCTGTTGAGTAGAAAGGGAAAAGGAAAATCGAGAAAAGCCGCTTTGACGAAAAGAAAATGAAGACGCATACGATCGATCATACGTTTGGGACACCAGGCTTGGAGAACCCGGAAGAGAAACGACAGGGAACGTCTGATCGGAGCAGCTTGCCTCGAGAGATCCATGGATCGCGAGGAGACGTTGAAATTCGTCTGGGACGGTTTAGGAAAGGATCGAACTAATCGATGTATGCCTGTATTATGTTGCAGTAAGCGAAACGGTCGTCGACAAGTGGGCCTAGGCTTGTCTCGCCGTGTGCCGCCGGCAACCAAATTTCTCTGCCAAGCATAAGCCGAGCAAAGCGAAACACACGAATATTAACGAGTATCTATATAACCCTATCACGAAACTAGGAGGTAACGAGAGCACGGAAGGGGAGCGAGTACGGCCGAAAGCGGAAAGACGAGACAGAGGAACGGAAGCGGAAAGGTACCAGGCGGGTCTCGCGCGAATCTCTCGATGATTTTTCAGCGAAATTTCACGCTACGACGATGACGGTTTAGGAGGATCGAATCGATCGTGCATCTTCGATGATGCAGGGATGACATAGGTCGCTCCCCGTCATTCTCTGCAAACCCCCATTTCCTTGCCTGGCTACCGCGTCAAGCACTGCCGCTGCTTTTCCGTTTCATCGTTCTCGATTCCGTGGGAAACTTCGTTCTCGTTGCTTCTTGCTCTTCGCGTAGAGAATGTACATAGTCATATCGCGTTGTATCGTATCGTCGGTAAAAGCGAGACATCGTGGAGAGGAAGAGTTTGAAAAGCGACTCAAAAGTCTTGGTCCGGGATTAAGAATAGACGAACGGGTTAGATTTAAAGTCGGATAGAAAGGGGAAAAGAGATGAAATTTCTTTCGATGCGATTGCCCGTTTAAATAGGAATTTGTTTTCTTCTCTCGGACGAATCTTCTCTTTTCCGATTAATCGGCGAACTCGTTACCGGACGTGTCTATTTATTTCTCTCTATTCTCTTCTTTCCACTTATTTCTCCCTTTTCCCTTATTTCGTTTCTCTCCTGGTTTCTTCTTTCTTCTTTTCATTCCTTTTTCTTCCTCGATCTTTCTTGATCTTCTCTCTCTCTCTCTCTCTCTCTCTCTCTCTCTCTCTTTTCATTTCCATACAACGTTTCTTCTCTCTAATCGTGTACTCTTATCGCTAACAGTCACTGTCTTTAAAGACACTTTATATTTTCTACCGAAGAAAAACGAGAAATCGTGCCTCTTAGTCACCTGGAAAGACTTTCCCTTGAAACACGTTCAAGGTTCCTATCTAAAAATACCTAACCACAAAACGCTCCAATGGACACCGTCGAACGTCTACCGGAACGCCAGAGTCGCGTGCGTTTCCGCCATGATCATCGCGATGATCGTCACGATGATCCTCGGTTCCCTGCCAAAGAGAACGCACCATCCACGCGATCACCGAGCCCGAGTATCGCTCCCGTCTTCAAGGTCGCGTTCCACGTTGATCTTGAAAGCCAAGCAGAGCAAGTCCATCGCGATGAATTCTGTCGGGACAAGTTTCCAAAATGGCGGAGAGAGACCCAAGCACCGGACCGACTCGACCACTGGCTGATCGAACGATGTTCAGGCGCCATTCAGGGTAACGACGAATACGAACACGCAGAACCGAAACCGGCGGCGGAAACGGTGGGAAAGTAGTGAGAACCATCGAAGAAGCGTTGCCTCCCTTTTGTCGTTGGATCGAGTGGTACGCGTTTTAGGACGAGTGAACAAAAATATTTAAAAAAAAAAAAAAAAAAAAAAAAAAAAAAATTAAAAAAAAAAAAAAAAAAAAAAAGCGGTGTATTCTGATCGGTGACGTAACTTTCAACGGAGGCTTCCGGCGAGACGGTCGTCGTTCCCGCGGCCATGTTCGATGATTCGTTTTCCGGCCGGGCACAATAGATCGCGGAAGCCTCCAGATGCTCGCGAAACTTACGCCACTGGAGGAAAGGCGGAAAAAAGGGAAAAAAAAGAAATATACACACACACAGCAAAAAGAAGGGAAGGAAAAAGAACATGTCGATGAAGCTCGCGAGATTTAATCATTGTACATAAAAGGGCAACGGAGAGACACGTTGCCACGCGCGATGTTTAAAGAGAAATTGATTATTATATATATATATATATTACGATTAAGAGACATTAAATATATATATACATATATTTTTCTTCGTGAAGAAAGCGCACAGACAGTTGCGACCCGAGCGACCTCCCGAATAGTCGAACGGACGCCTCTCGAGCGAGAAGGATTCGAATCGACAGGAATGGAAACCCGGATCCCCCTGTGCTTTTTCTTTCTCACCTTCGTTTCCTGATTTCGAGTTTATTGGTTTAATGTTAAGATGGAATTTAACTGCCTGTGAATATTCTGATTGTTAGGAAAAAAAAAAATTATCTTTCTTTTACCTCGATTCCTTTTCTTCAATCTGTTTCCCACTACTTATCGTTCTAACCGCCGGGAAGATCTTCGTCTCTCTTTTCCTTTTTCTTTTTTCTTTTTTCTTTTTTCTCGTTCGATCCTAGTGACAACTTTGGATTGCGTGATGGAACGATAGAACGGTGCAGGAGTATATCTCGTTGATTTCTGTTGTGTTTTATCCCGGCCATTATCCCTCGAGTCATGATGGCGGCGACGAGTCTGAAACTCGAACGCAGCGCGAAATTCGAAACGATTAATATCGCTGTCTGTGCCAGGAAGGCAGTGGCTCGTAGTTGTTTGCAAGTTTTTACCTGGCATTTCGCGAGGAATTAATATCCCGCTAGCCAAGATAGATTCCAAGCGGAAGTGCATTGTTTCTAGAATTAAAATAACCAATTCGAGTCTTGCGTCTTTAAAATGAACTTAAACACTTAACAGCAAGGTTGTCGGAATTATGTTCTCGGAATTATTCGGTCGGTTAAAAGTACGAATTAACTCGATATTACGTAGAAACTGCTATCTTTAAGGCGAACCTTCGCATCTTTTTAACAAATACCAGCAACTGTGAATAAATTCCCTAGGGATTTCAAGCTTTAGACGCTATTCACTAAATAAACTATGTAACAAAGCGGCAATTTTGAAACACGCTTGGATCGATATAAAAGTCGATGAGAAACGCGTTGGAACATGCAACGATATCGTTTAACAAATTATAAACTTATCGATTTCGAGTTCTTCCATCGTTCAACCCCGTTTTTAACTCTTCTATATCTCTCTCTCTCTCTCTCTCTCTCTACCTTTCTATATCTACCCTCCACGTATCGTCACTTGTTACCGCTTTTTCAAACTACTTCTCAAACTAGCGATTAAAGTTTCACGCGGACTTCTCGAGATCTTTAATAAGAAACGACGATTATCTTGTTAAATCTAGTATAATGTAAGTTAAGCACGTTGTCAAAGTGATTATTGAAAGACAAAGGTAATAAAAAGTATCGACGACAATTCGATTGCAAAAGACAATGGCGGTGTGTTAGCGAAATGGACGCCATGTTAGTTGTTTATAACCCTTGCTACGTGAAATCAAAGGACGTTGCCTAATCGTTCTCGCTCGAGGTCGGAGTACACGTCGAGAAACTTCGTTGTATTCTTCCAAAAGACGGCGACAAACCTTGCGTTATTTTTAATGTTGTACGTAAACGGTTCTGTACGAATAAAGGTTTGGAAGTAACGGAGCCAATGGTCTGCCACTGATCCCGATTTTTCAGCCAGCTGCATTTCGTTCGACCAACCAACGTTCCAACGCCTGGTGTCTTATCTATGGCCCACCCTATATACACCCTGTATGGCTCATCCTATGGTTTGCCTGCTTTCATGGAACATTTTCGCACTGGATATTTTATTCTAATTCGTATCTGTTTAACTGAAATTTAATTTCCTCGCGTACTTTAAATGCCACATATACGAATTCTTTTTAGAAGTTGGTAGGATTGCGAAGGCTTCGTCTATGATTTGAATGCAAGTTTATTCTCAGACGTGATATCGATTCGAGGGAGAAATTTGGTAAGGGAGTATTTGTTATAAAAGTTTCTTTATTTCTAATAATTCTATGGAAATATCACATTGTACATATTTGTCCTTTCGTTTGCCCATCTATATCAGCTCATTCTTCAGGTTCAGCCTCACTCACTCGTTTCACTTACACGTCGGATAAAACTTACAAACTATACAATGGTCGTTCGCGGAGCTTCTACGGCTGCGTTGTAAATAAATACAGGATAACGTGTTGAATCGGGGACTCTTCAACGTGGAATTATTTGTCGAAGAACGGAAACATTGGGAGAGGAAGGTGATCGTTAACTTATCGACATCTCCTTCGCGATTTCTTTTAGCCGTAGATTGAACGATTCGCGGATTTCCCTGATTGGCTTCACCAAATAGATTGGCACGTCATCGTCTCGTCTCTGTAACGAATCAATTGCAATTACTATTACTAACCATATCGTAGTTACAGTCGTTTGCGGGAATTTATTTAAACGAATAAAAAGATTTTCCTTTTAGCACGAAATACGTAAAACATAGAGAGAGAACGTACAGAGCATTTTCGACTTGGAAACTACTTTACCGACCGAGCAGATTTCCTCATTAATCCGTCAATAATAAATTTTGTCACCGTTAATTATAGAGATTCGTGACTCGCCTCTTCGAATTTTCACGCAAATCACACTCTTAATTAATGCGAAAATATTCCCAACTCTTCTTTAACGATTTCTTTCCGAGCTTTCGGCGCTAAATGCAATTACGAGTGATTTACCTGAAACAGTACTTCTCCCTCGAACTCCACGAGCTTCTGTTTCCTGGCTCTCAGCAGAAGACCCACGCATTTGTCGCTGATGTGGGTGTAAATGTTGAATAAATCGCCAAACGTGATCGCGATGACCTCTGGTTGGTCCCGACACGGTGTGCCCTCTTGATGAATGATCTCGCAGAGTTCGAGCACCTCTTTCAGAATGTGCGCCGTGGCTTTGCGACCACGGATGTCTGTCAAAGAGCCAGCTTCCGGTCTGAAATCGATGAGAAATGAACAACCACTGTCGCTCCATGCTTCTTGCTAATTAATCCGAGGATATTCCACGTGAACTCACCTTCCATATTCTTCCTTCGAGAATGTCCGTTTCTCGAGATTCAGGCCAGACGTGAACGGGTTCTTGTTCTGCTTGTCTTTGTGCTTGTTCGCGTATTGGTCGAACATCGCCACTTTGTCGCTGAGGGATTCCTGCAATAGAGAACGAAACGTTGAATTTTTGGATTCTAATCAATCTCAGAATCTAATAATATCATAGGTCGTGAAATTCATTAAGACGCATTTCTCGATTTCATTATCTTTTCCACGTTCTGTATTTTTCCTTGCTCGCTCTGATACACGCTGAAGTTACTATAGATCGCTATTTCGACTCACTAGATGAGTTTTCCAAGTCACTGAATCAACCAAAGGAATGGAATCCGATATGACAAAGCGACGAAATTATATTAGATTGAAATGTAATATCGCAAAATAGAGAGTGAAATACACGTAAAACGGACGTGTCTTTGTGACAAAGGGAAAACTATGGAATGAACAGAGCTGTTGAAAAACGAGGGAACCACAGCGTAGTCGAATAAAAACTGGCATAATGTTGTTGGAAACAACAGTAAGGCTTCTAAACCTCGAGTTACCTGGCTGAGAAAGTATTCGATTCGCGTAACCGTGAAAGCAGCTTGAGGATACGACGTGCCAGCGAATACACGTACAATCACTCTGGTTAGTAATTGAATTATTAGCGTTTAGTAATATTTTTAAGAGGATCAACGATGTTAATGCCACCTCGGTGAAACTTTATACACCACTTTCACTATGGAACATCTTCCTCGAGCAATAGAAACCAGAATTTCTCCCACACGAGCACTTAAAAATATATCTGTCTCATTGAACTGCCAAGAAGGTGCAGTTTCAATTTTGGGTTAATTATAACACATAGTGTAAAAATTACGCTTTCAGCCAATCTTAAGCCAGTGCCATTTAGATGTATTTTATTCTACAGGAATCCACTTGTGGATACCTTAAAAATTCCTTCAATCGCGAAATTAATTAGTCAATTAATTAAATTGTCAGATTCGGTTAGGTTAACTGCAATCTTTGTAAACTTGAAAAGCATTAATGCGTCGGAAATGATGAAATTTTCGAATACTTTGAATTACACTGTAATAGAATGTAATGTAATATGATATGACAATGTGATAACGAATTGAACACTTTTATCTCAACACACATAAGGAGACAACAGAGATTGACGTCTGGTCGTAGCAATTTCGAAGCAGTTTCACTTACAAACGCTGTTCCGAATGAGCGCCACTTACATCCATGGAGCAGGGTAAAAATCTCGATATCTCGAGTTTCTTCGCAACTATTTCACCCAGTTAATAGAAGTTCGTAGAGCAGACTAAGAACTCGAGGCAAGAGTTAAACAGACAGACCACTGTGAGCTTGACCAACGATGTTGGACGATGGCCAGCCTGGACCATTTAAAGAGCAGCCCTGGCCATAAAAGACACCTGGATGGCATCCTGACAAATTCCACCGTGAACGTATATACGCTCGACACCTGAATCGGGGAAGATTATCACGCGATACAAGTGATCAATGAACGTTACGATTACTGGCTCTTCTTTAACAGAAATTTAATGAAATAATTTTCGACCATACAGAAAGCACTGCTATATTCTGTCAATCTAAGCAAAATTCTTTTACCCGCATAAGGTATAAAATACCTGGTCTCTTCAGAATTGAAACTTCTATCATTACTTTATGAATTATCGTACAACAGAACGTAGATGACAATACAATAAACCTACAACGCGCTCTAAATCACGCTAAATCATTCGGCGAAGAATGACAAAATCGAAATACCCCATAGGAACGTTAATCCTTCAGCAAGTCAACCGAAAGCGATATAAGAAGCGGAAATTGAAATAGATAATACCAAAGGATAAAATCACGCAAAAGAAAATTCACAAAATTCAGAGCATGCGAATTTCGATTGAAATCGACAGAAGAAGGGAAAAGAAATAACGCTCGGCGAAGGAAGCAATGTAAACGCGACAGCGCGAGTCAGTCAGTCGCTAGCCTGCTTCCGGTTATATTCAAGTTCACTGTCGTGGCTGAGAAGCCACCTCGAAATCCACGCCAAGCGGATAAATAAACTCAGCCACACTCGTAGGATACTCACAAACATCACCGAAGACATGGTTTCGCCGTCAACTCTGCTCGAATGCACGACGAGGTAAAATAAAAATGGAAGACGAAGCGGAAGCGATTAGGCGAGGAGATAGAATCGGACGAAAGGTGGACTAGGCTGTGTTTAATACTGTACGGTGGGATGAAAGGAAAAACACAATGGACGGGAAATGGCCTGTGACCGGTCTCTCTGGTCTGCGGACTCTTCTCGCGACGTCTCTCGTATGCGAATGCAGCGTCGCGACGCCGCGCGTCTTTTTATAAGATACCAGCTACGTCAAAAAGTCCCACCAAGAAATTCCGCAGGTCGAAATATTTGCCGCGTTTCGGAGCCAATTCCGCGGGAATTCGCGCCGCGTCAGCCGACGCCAGCACACCGGAAATGATAATTCTTCGGCATCGGCGCGGCCGTTCGGACCATCCCTCTTGCCTTGACTTATTGCTTCGCTCGTCGGTGCACGTGCTTCCACCGACCAAGCAAGTCATCTTGGTCCCTTTGCAAATCTGCAATTGGAACTCGAGAGGGTTTATCGTTTGAAAGAATAAGGCTAAGAATGGGTAAAAATATGTTAGAAAGGATTTTTCATTTTCGTTGTCGAGGGTACCTGAAATCGAGAGAAAGTTGTATCTCTTGTGATCTTTATTTCAACCCGTTTCAGCTTCGAATAGATTTTAGTGCACTGCACGAATCGATTAATTCCACTTTTTGAAAAATCTTAAATTTAAGTGTCAAAGTACTTGATTTAGTCCTAACTACAGTATTTCATTGTATTTCTCCACTTTCTGTTTTATGGAGTTAATCAATTTGTGCAGTGAACGGCTCATATCTTGACACTGGAATTAACGGTTTTAATATATATCTAAATATAACACGTGCAATTGGTATTAATTAATAGGATATGAAGAAAAAGGTATAATTTTTACTAAAAGCAGCTGCATATTTTTAGCAATCGCGAAACAAGTCATTTTGATCCCGGTGGTAACCTGTTGTATATAGCTTACACTACATTGTGTCTCATTACAAATTTCAATTATGCTGATTATAATTATGTAGGATGGCGAAACTGGTCTTGAGACACCGAAAATTCACGAAAGAGCAAGAACGCAATAACACAAACTCAAAACTCGTAAACTGATTTAACTTAGGAAAAGAACACCAAGATAACGAAAACACACAAAGACGCACTCTTTTAAAACTC